CCCGCCATGGGGGCGTCGCAGAGCCTGGAGATCCCGGGCGGCGGCACCGAGGGCTACCACGTCCTGCGGGTACCGCTCGGGGCGGCCGGGGCCAAGACCCTGAGGGGCGACCGGGGGCGGCGCGAGGGACCCGCGGGCCGGGGCGGGAGGCGAGGGCGAGTCAGACGCTGCGATTGCTCCGCTCGTCAGCGCCTGGGGTGGGCTGCGGCCCCCGAGAGAGAGGCCGGGCAGGGCAGGCAGCGGCGGCAGGTGTCGGAGCCTCCCTGGGGCCCTCGGCTGGCCCCGTTGGAGCCGCGGGTCCTCTCCGTGGGCCTCAGCCGGCCGCTGGGCTCGAGGCAGCACGGGGCAAACGCCGCGTTTTCTTCGTTTGTGATGTTTGAGGGGCGGGCAGGGATAAAGAGGCCGGGACAGGGCGGCGGGGGATTCCTGCTTGGAGTCTCTGGGTGGATCCCGTGCTTGGTGTGGTGCTCACACGCCTCATAGGTGCGGAGTCCAGCAGACCCCTGAGAGGATCTCCAGGCATCCCAGGGTGTCACAGCCCCTTGATTTTGGGAAGCGCTGTATTATGCCTTTGACATCAGAGCTTGTTCCGATTAAATTGAGCAACACAGCACATGGCGTCTGACCCTCACTCCTGGTGCCTTGGGCAGCACAGGTGCTGCTTGCTGCAGTTACTGCACTGTTACTGCACTGTGAAATATGGCTGTAGCAAGTAACTGTTGCTGTACAGACTTTCAAAAATATATTGGCCTGGAAAAGCAGGCAGCCTTTTCTGCACCAGGATGTTGGGGAAAGCTCACATCAGTGTGTTCTCCTTGGCCAGCAGTAACAGAGGCATCCTGAAGGCAGGGTGGGAAATTCGTGCAGCTTTTGTGCCAGGCTGTAATAGAATTACACCCATTTTGTAGATGGGAGAAATTCAGAGAGGCAGCCAGTCGCAGAGCTGCTGACTGTTAAGAAATCTGATAAAACTGGTAGTCCTGTACTGGGTTGGTTTTCTTATAAGATATACACCTTGAAGTTAATGTAAAGGGATTGTAATGCTGCCTACTGGTATCTTTCATCTGCAGCCATATAGATATCAAAATAGATAGATATATAAATAAATATCTATGATCTATATCTATCACATCTGGAGATGGTCTTATCTGCCTTTCCCATAAAACTTCCTGACCTAAGCTAACTTAATTTAGAAACACAAGGTAAGGTTGTGCTACAGGCCATGTTGGTATGTGAACTTTGCCCTTTAGAACAGTGGGGCTTGACCTTTTGGTCCCACCAGCTGATGGATGAGTGGCATGGGGCTGTTCCCTTCAGGTCCCAAAATGTGGTGGTAAGAGAGAAGTAGCAGCATTAATTGCCATGACTGTGGGAGCAGTTAATGCTACCACTGTTAAATCTCTGGACCTGTGGGAAGCTCTGTGGACCATAGGTTGAGCACCGCTGGTTAAGAATTATTACAGAACCAATGCACCACAACGCTGAATATGATATTAAATAGAGGTGCACTGATATATCGGTTGCATATTGGATAGGCACCGATAACAGGATAATTAACGTTATTGGCCATCAGATTTTTTGGGCTGATAATGTCACCGATAAACGCTGCACACATGCGCACAGCCTCAGCATGCACACAGCCAGGAATACAGCCAGACAGCTTGGAGAGCAGTCTTCTGCCGGTAAGTCTGTGGGGGGAAAAGGGCACGTGGGAGGGAAGTGATGTGGAGGGGGGAGTGATGGAGTCCCCAGTGGTGAGGGAGGGAGTGGAGCAGGGGCAGGTATTGCTCAGCTGGGATGATGAATGGGATTCCAGGGCTGGGAGTGGGATGGATCCACAGGCACCTCATCTAGGGGGTGTGGGCCAGTGGGAAGGGGGGCAGTTCCCCACCACTGCATGGACCCCTGGGGAAGGCATGGGGGGCATGTGCCCCCTGGAGTTGTGCACAGGGCAAGTGCAGGCTGTGCACTGTGGGCTCAGGTCCATGGGCTGTTCTGACTTCTTCCCAGCAGGGGCTGGGGCAGGGTGGGTCGGGGGGGTGGGAGTGGTGACTGTGGGATGAGCCATAGCAGGGATGGCAGGCAAGGTTTGGCCCCTGGGTTGGCAGTAGACTTCATTTCCTGGCAGCCCCTGCCCACATGGCTGGGGCCAGTCTCCATGGAGACCCCAGCTGCATCTGCACTGTGATACCACAAGGCTGGAGTTGCCATAGAGACCAACCCCAGCTGTGCTGGCAGGCCAGAGGGCTGCTTTAGAGCTTCTGGGGTCTTGTGCCAGGGGCAGCTTGATCTGCAGCCTGCACACTCTGGGCAGGGACGCACAGGCAGCGGATTGTGGCTCTGCCTTGGCTCGGGACCAGGCTGTGACCATTGCAAGGAGCTGGGGCACAGCCACAATCCACTGTCTGCAGTCCTCTGCCCAGGGCATGCACACTGCAGATCGTGGCTCTGCCCTGGCCCCTGACTAAGCTGCCCCCTCCACAAGATCCCAGCAGTTCTGGGGCAGTGCCTTGCCCTGCCCTGGCATGTGCCCTGCCAGCGTAGCTGGGGCTGGTCTCCATGGCAACCGCAGCCTTGTGCTATCAGTGTAGATGTAGCTAGTGTCTCCATGGAGACCAGCCCCAGTCATACGGGCAGGGGCTGCTGGGAAATGGAATCTGATTGCTGGCCAGATCTGCCACTTTGTCTACCCCTGGGCTATAGCCACCCCAAAATTCCCCATAGCCACCCCTCCCAGTGCCACCGCTGCCCTCCCCAGCCCAGCACCCCTACCAGGAAGAGGCCAGCGCAGCCCCTGGCCCCAAGCCTGCAGCAGGCAGCCTACCCTCTCCCAAATCTGGAGGGGATATGCCTCCCTGGGGGTGCTCACAATGACAGGGAGCCACCTGCCTCACTGCCTCATGCCCCCAGACGAGCTGCCTGCGCGTCTGTCCTGCTTCTAGCCCTAGAGTCCCATTCACCACCCTGGCTGGACAGCCCCTGCCCCACTCCCTCATTGTGGTGGGCCTAAATCTGCACCCCCCATATCCCTTCCCCCCACAGACTTACCAGCTGGATGCTGCTCTCCAAGCTGCCAGGCTGTGTTCCTGTAAATCAGCTATTGAATTGGTATTGGCTGATACGGCTGGTGAATAATCAGCCATTGTATCAGCCAGGAAAATCTTTATTGGTACACCCCTAATATTAAACCTGTTTAGAGTACTGTGCTAGAAAGTGGTCACTTTTCAAGTATTCATGAGCACCCTGTTACCCTTTTCATAAAGACAGTTGTGGTATGCCAGCCAAATCCTATCCTGGGTAATGTTCCAGGTTCCTGAAACTTTCCCTAAAGGTTCAGATGACTGTATTACGCTATGTTTCACTTAGTGCAGTTCATGCAGAAAGGCTGCTGTTTCAGTCCAAAGGTGGTTGCAGTTTGAGTGGTAGATAAATGGGGAGTAAGGGAATCACATGCTTAATAGGGGAATTATTTAAAAAAAATGTTGAGGACTGGTCTGAAATGAAGGAACAGCATATCTATAAGGCAATGATGCTTAACCTTTTTATGTGCCAAGCCAGATGGCCAGTGCCTGATCCAGCTGTGGGCTGGATGATGGTTCTGATCCAGTGCCCTAGGCTAGCATGACAGGAACCTTCCAATCACACACAACCCAGCCTGAGCCCAGGTCCACAATTTGAGGAGAAAAGGGCTTCACTCCACCACTGCCAAATTTCCCAATCTGTGGGAAGCCCCGCAGGCCAGATGAAATGGTCTTGCAGGCTGGAGGTTGAACACCCCTGCTTTAAGGTGTTTGCTGCTAGAGTTCTAAAGCTGTAAAATTAACATCAATTTTCTGCCTGTGATCCTTAATGAATGTGAAATGCATAGGTCAGTACTGTGATGAAAAAACAGTAGCATGTTTCTGTCTTGTGTCTGTTACAGTCTTCTCAGTTACTAGTGTTCACTTTTGTTTTAAACACAACATATTTTGCTTAAGTCATTTAGATGCCTCCGTAATTGTAGTTGCATTTTGGTATTTCCAAACAGCAAAATTGATTTCTTTTTAGTTTGTTACTAGCCAGTTTATTTGTAATGTACAGAGACAGGTCACATAAAGGTGCAAAGTAACTAGGTTTGGGCACAAATGTGATGGTCTCATCACAAAATTGTAGTTGCCACATGGTCTTTTGATCCTCTGATGACTTATTTTAGGTGCCACAGTGAGACAGAACTTTGGTCCAAGGAACAAACTTATGTACAGTTTTTTTAGGGGTGTACTGATAAAGATTTTCTTGGCCGACACCAATAGCCAATGATTAACCAACCATATTGGCTGATGCCAATCAGATAACCAGTATTTAGTAATACTGCAAGGTATTTTAAACTACTGACATA